CTGGACGCTGCCCACCTTTCACTTCCTCTGTAGACACCCACTGCTTGCTGTGCCCCGCTTTCATGAGCCATCGGAGTGGGGAGCAGAGCACCCCTGGCTGTGTGTCTGGCTGCAGTCACATCCCCGGACTCCCACAGAGCTTGATCGTTCTCTCAGGACTGTGGGTTCCTTGTGCCTCTGGGTTGCCAGGGTGCTTCTCAGAGGATGTTTGCATTTGTCCTGCCTGACATCCCTGGAGAGACGGAGAGTCTTTCACAGGTGCAGATGCCCATTCGGCAGAAAGCTGAAGGATCTCTGTCTTTCTTTCCCTCTCTCTCTCCCTGTCTCTATCTGCCTCTCCTTGTCCGCCTGTATCACTGTATGTATGTCTCTTTGTGTGTCTGTCTTTCTTTCTCTCTCTCTCTCTCTCTCTTAATATCTCTTTCTCTGCCTCTCTCTTTCTCTTTCTGTCTGATAATTGAACAGAGGACATTTGCACTGAATTACATTCTCAACCCTTTTCTTATTTTTTATTTTGAGATAGGGTCTTGCTAAGTTACTAAATTGATGGAAGTTGAGATCCTCCTGCCTCAGCCTCCCACAGTGCTGGGATTGTAGGCATGTGACAGCATACCTGGCTAAGGTTATATTTTTAATTTTGTGTAAAACTGGGCCTCAGAGAGCAGGGCACCCTCCCCCTTTAGAGTGGCTGTGGCCCAGTAGCCTTCTGCTAGAGATCTCCTCCTAGCACTACCATTGAGTTCCCTTCCAAAACACAAGTCCCCTTGTAAAGTTTTGGTAAACACATTTATTTTGGAATAATCACAGATTTGCAAAGATTCACCTCGTTTCTTCCAAAGTTAATTTTTACTTAACTGTGATTTATTTCTCAAAACTGGGAAATAAACATTGATATGTTACTATTAACTGAATGCTAGGCTTTATTTGGATTTCACCAGTTTTCTACCTTAATGCCCTTTTCATGTTCTATTATTCCATCCAGACTACACCATTGCATTTAGCATCCTTAATTATACATGACTAGGGCATATGGACACAGACGGTCTTCCATTAAAGGCTTTGAGCCTGAAGAGACTGAAAAACACAGAGCCATATCTTTCTTTCTTTCTTTCTTTCTTTCTTTCTTTCTTTCTTTTGTTTTGTTTTGTTTTGTTTGTCTTTTTTGAGACAGGGTCTCTCTATGCAGTTCAGGATGACCTTGATTTCACCTTGTAGCCCAGACTGTTCTTGGGCTTGCAACAATCTTCCTGTCTCAGCCTCCTGAATACTGGGATCACAGATGTGTGCTAAGATGCTTGGCTATAAAGATCCTTTTATCAAGTCTAAAACTCACCTAGCTTCTGAGATACAGGAACAATATTTCCCTCATCAACTCTCCTGATTGAGTGGTTTCAGCAAATAAGAATAGGGTCACCGTCTGAGTTGGTGATATTTACTTGATAAGTGACGGGCACCCTGACAGGTCCTGCCTCATATATTATAACCCATTGTGTGTAGGACTTATGTTTAATGTATCTTTCCAGAACCCCACAGGGCTTAGCATGCTGCTTGATACAGAACAGCCATTCAGTAACCATCTCAGTAGATAGCACCTGGTACCTAAAGCCAGTTGCAGCCAGTGGTAGAATATCCCCAACCCTTCTCACCACCTTCTGAGCAGAATCATGCCCCCCAGGAAGGCTTGGTAAGATACCTAATTGAATTTTAATGCCATTGTTAAAAAGAGTACTTCATGGAGAACTTTTCTTTGACCTAATCAACTGTGATTAGCCTCCAGCCCAGAAAGAAATAAGCAGGTGACCGAAGAAGGCACCCAGTCCCACAGTCATTTCCCCCCATATTGCTGTGAGTTCACTGTCCTGTGTTACATTCTGCTAGGTTGCCTCTGCACCCTGGGGGTGCAGGTATGGAAGGCAAAATAGCCTAGGCAAAAATCTGAGGAGAGAAAAGGAAGAGGACCCAAATGTCACACCCAGAAAGTCCCATGGCACCAATGCCGCTCATGCCATTTCTTGTCCATTTGATGGTTTTCCAAAGAGAAAAAGAGCTGTAGCTGCCCACTTGCCCTTTTCTTTCCCCTGAAAGTCCAAGAGTTGCCTAGTTAAGGGCTTTGAGAAAGCCATGAGCTGGGAACAGCTGAGGCAACTTGAAACTCTAAACAAATATTTATAGCACCTAGTATGTGACCAGCCACATACTGAACACGATAGGCCACTGGGGCTGCCCACTCACCTTTTGAAAGACTGTAAACAGGAGAATGTCAGCCACATCCTAACAAAGTATCAGCTGGACCAGAGTAGTAAGTGGAACCCTAACCCTCCTGGTCAACCCTAGCTTTCTTCTCTAGTTCTGTGTTCCTGAAGTCTGTGTCATCCACCACCTGAAGTGACCACTATACTCCCAACCTCCCTAATGTATGTTCCTCAGAGATTTTGATTGAAGAGGACATCCATCTTTAAAACCATGGAAGGTACCCATGGTCTCTGGATCACTGGGAAATTCCTACCAATGGAGCCCCATCCTGGTACCTGACAGCTCCATAGACAAAGGGCAGTGGAGAAAATAGTTACCCTGCTCACGATGGGGACCTGCAATTTTATGACCATCCCAGCCAAAACACAGAGAGCTGCTATGTGCTCTTGTTCTAGGCGTGATACATTTTCTGAAAGATGCCAGCATCAAAATGCCATACAGTAGTAGTGGTGCATCCTAGAGCAATTCTGTCTGAGTCTGACAGTAATGAAACTAGAATGTCCATTACATCTGGTGTGTGTGCTGGACGGCTTCCTTGTTTGAAGTCTTCTGTCTGTGCCTTAGTGGAAATAATTAGATTGCTGACCTGTGTCCAGCTCGCCACGGAGATAGTGACTGTTTACTTACAGATATCAAGGCATGATGTCTGTAGACATTTTCTCTATTCTCCTCTTCCTTCTATTTTATTACTGTGGGGAATGCTTTAATATCCATCTAATAAGGTCCCAAGTGAAATTTAAACATGAAAGAAAAAGAGGGATTCTAATAACGTGACATTATAATAGCTTTCTTTCTTTTTGCCCAATACCCTTGCACTCTCTCTGATGGTGCCTTGTCTTAGTCTGTTGGGTGCCGCTGTAATAGAATGCCTGAGACTGGATGATGTATAATGGGCAGAAACTTGTCATGTATAATGAACAGAAACCATTTCTCATGATGCTCAAGACTGGGAAGCTCAAGAGAGCAAGGGCCTTCTCACTGTGTCATATCACAACAGAAGAGGGTAGGGCAAGTGCGTGAGACAGACATACAGAGCAAGAGAGGATGGAGACTAAGCTGACCCTGTGGTTAGGAACTGTCTCCATGATAGTTAACCCACTCCTCTTATAATGGCATTCATTTGATTTGCCCTCATGATCTTCGGGTGCCACCCCTCAACACTCTAACACTGGGGATTAAGTTTCCAACTCATTGCTCTTTCAGTGTCACGACATTGGACTTGGAATGAAGCTTAAAGATGACCTGACCCAGCTCCCATCTCCGTGTATCCATAGGGCAGCTCTGAGACTCTAGGTCCTTGAGTCTTCTGATGATTGAGTATTGGCTAACATGGGAAAATCACCAGCTTTGCAGTGAGCTTAAGCGATAAAATAGCTTTCCATACAGGAGTCCCCTTTAATAATAATAGCTACTTTTTGTAAATGCTCAAATGTAATACTCTGCTAGGAACTTTAGTGTGAATTGGACCAGTGTTGACTGTTCACAGCACTTTCAAAGATAGATACTGTTATTTTGCAGTTAGAGGGAAACTTGGGCGCTCCTCTAGTTTATGTACAGATGACAGGGACGGTGGGGCCTCTCTCCAACAGCGCCGACCCTCCACTGGTTCTTAGAAGGCAAAGCACATCTGCCTAGAAATCAGGCAGCAGATATTTCCTGCTTGGTTTCTAGCATGCTATCAGGATTCTCAGATCTTTGAGTCCGAAATGCCCAGTGTTATTTGTGTAATTATTTATATTCCACTTTATTTTAAGAAATATGTGGAAAAATAAAAGGATATTTGTGACATACCAGAAAAGCAAAATATGGTGAAGACCAGAGACCCAGGTTCAAAGGAAGGCTAGTTGAAAGCTATTAAAATTAAAAATATACACAATGATATGGAATATAAAAGTGTGTCGGTTCATTGTGTTCATTTGATGTGGGCTTCCTGTCCACCAAAAGGGAAGGACCATCAATTCATGGTTCTTATTAATCCAGTGATCATCGGGATATGGGAGATCCTTTCCTGATCAAATTGTGAAGAAAATTTCTCGTGGCATTTTCATGTGAAGTAGAGAAGCTGGAAAGATCCAGTTATCCATCGCCTCAGCTGCAATGCCTATGTGATATACTGGTACTTAGGTTCTTATAGCATTTTTGTTGTTGTTTTTGGAAGCCAAGGGCAGAGCATTAAAACAAACTTGGCCAACAAGGCAATGTAGGTCAAATTTGTAGCCTGCAACCTTTCATCTTTATCCACCAAGAGGAAAAGTTTCCTCAAGCGCTACATCACCTCTGACACCAGATGTATGGCTATTTTCTCCCAGAACAATTGAGTTCAGTTTTCTGGCAACTGAGTGTTCTACAATTTGACTCAATTATGATATGGTCTATTTGGAGATAGCATGCTTGGATGTGGCCCCCAGTGCCAGAGATGAAGGGCTCATTTTGCAAGACCACCCTTGCGTCACAAACCCATCTAAGCCCAGGTTATTGCCTGCACATCTGATCAACAGGCCAGAAGAACAAGGTCTCCACCACTCCCTCCTCAGTGCCTGAGTTTGGATGGTTTGCTGAAATGGCTCAAGGAACTTAGGAAGAACAGCTTCCTCCTAGATGATTCATTTACTAAGAAAGGGTACAAATTAGGAACAACGAGATGGACCACGTATGAGTCACCGTTATTGCTTTAGAAAATTCTGAGGGTTTTAGGAGCTCAATGCAAGGAATGAATGAGAACCAAGTATGTATCCTTTTTTTTTATTACCAACCCCACATACATAAAACATTGTGCTTGGTGGAAAGAGTCTTCACTGTAGCTCAAGTCGCATAAGCCAAGTCACACAAGCCAGGCTGAGCCCCAGACTGTCAATGAAAAGTATATCCAGGGCATGAGTTCTCCTGTGAGTCTGCACCACCTGTCCCTCTGACTGAGACCAGAAAGTACCGTCTTGAGAAGGGTGGTCTTTGAGCCCAGCACAACGATCAAGTGGGGAAAGGGTGGATGAAAGATGCCAGCTGGATGTGACTGAATTCATTTTCCTTCACTGATGCTCTGCTGTGTCTCAGTTTCACTTATCTGTGAAGAAGTCACATCCTTGGCACCGTGGAGCATTCGTGGGTTCTGCCGAGGAACCACCAGCAGATCACTGATATTTAGCTCAGGTCTCATAAGACAAATTTGGCTCCAAGCAAAAATGACATCTCTGTTTTCCTAAAGGAATGTCACTTGTTTGCCCCAGTTAATATTAATAAACCCAAGGCTATTATGCGTTTCCTTATCAAAGCGTGAAGATGTTAGAATAATGGCATTTTCAAGCTGAAATGGATCTTGGCGATCTTCTAGTCCAACGTCCCCACTGAACAGATGAGGAAGCAAGGAAGAAAAGGGCTCAGATAGTCAGGTATACAGTCTGGGCTGGGAGCCGGGTCCTTGGATGGCCAGCCCTACACATGGCCCCACAGTTCCATCTGACTTTTTCATCTTGCTATTTCATCCCTGAACTAGAAGATGATAGAGAACATGGAACCAGGTACTTTCATCCATGAATTTATTTTGTTCTACAATTCTAGTTGCAAACCAAGTGGTCGCACACCAAATCAAATTTCCTCATAAGAGTGGAGGCGGACTTAGTGAATGGAAGCAAAATTGTGCCGAATGCTTCTGTTCACAAACTGAATTGTTCGTGAACAGAAGCATTCCTGAACCGAAGTATTACTGTAATCTGTACATCACTTCCGTTTACTTAACGCATCTTTGGATTACTTATGATTTTACCTACCCTAATGTAAATGCTATGTAAATACTTGTTACACTGCATTACGTAGGGAGTAATTACAAGAAAAAATAGGTTCATACAAGTTCAGTACAGCTGCTTTTTCCCCCCAGATATTTTCAATGTGTAGTTGCTTAATCCTGGGGTGTAGAGCCTTTGTGTATGGGGCTATGGGCTATGGAGGAGCTATGGTCCATCACGGATGGCTGGCGTGCAGATTATCAAGATAAGCACATTCTCACTCTTGTATTCCTTTTCCCCTGCCAATGGATCATATGTAAGTTCCTGCATTTCTTTAAAGGACATGAATTTCCCAGAATTTCCCATAGCCAGGATGGAGGATAATATAATATCCCTAAATTACTTACCTGTTTCCACTGATGAAGTAAGTCAGCCTGCAGAGTTCATCTCCATTTCTCTTCAACTAGACAAATACCCATTTTCACCAACATGGAACCTTCCACTAACCTGAGGACAAATAAACCACATTTCCGGTGGTCCCAGGATAATTCAGCTATGAAAAAAATGGGGGAGGAAAGAGATGGCAACATAAGAAGATGTGCCGAGTTGGGCTGAAACTAGGTCCCCACCAGAACCAGGGGAAAGTAGGGCCACTAAAACAGCCCTTTCAAAATGTGACACCACCCTTAAATGTATCTTGGGAAATAATAGATTTTTAGAAGGACTGTTTCAGAGGGCTCCATTCTTCACTCAATAACATATCGTAAATGAATCACATTATTAATTTATAATAGAACAACTGTTTTGTCTCAACAATCATCTTCTCAAGCTCTGACATTAATTTTCTTCTTCTTTTTAATCATCTCAAAATATTAGCACTCACACCACCCCCGGCATGCCACCTAGACGTCTGTGCTCCTCCTCTAAAATCTGAGATGATTTTGCCTGGTTGGCATCCAGCATCTTCTGACCATCCTTTTGTGATACTGAAAAGCAGCTGGCATTGGTTGAGGCTGATTCTCTGCCAAATAGGATGTGAAGGAGTTTAACTGTGTTGCTTCACTTAATCTTCCTGACATCCTGTAAATCATGTATCATTATTAAGCCTGTTTTATCTATGAGGAAACTGAGGCAGAGAACCATTTTGTTTTCCTAATGCAAAGAAAAAGGAAAGTTTCTCTTGGTTAGGTTTCATGAATATAGATGTTCATAGACACGGTTTGCTTAAATCAGGGTGTGTCTGTGCACTGTTTTTTATATAACACAAAATGTAAATATTGTCTTCAGTTATACTCAAGTCCAAGTAGTGAAAGGCAGACAAAAACATAAATGAAATATTCAGTTACGACCACCAAAACTATGTCTGTGAGAAAGGATTCTTATATATTAGTATTAAGATGACTCTATCATGGCATATATAGATATTTTGGTTGTTTTGTTTCTGGAATATCCAAATGTGACTGGGTGTGGCTGCATGTTTTAGCTACTTCCTTGTTGCTGGGGCAAAATACTGACAGCACAAATAAAAGGGGGGGGAAGGTTTATTTTGGCTCAGTTATAGAGATTTCAGAGTCAGATGACTTCAGGGTGGCATGGCAGAGGAGAAACAGTCCATGGCAGGCAGGCAGGAAGCAGCAAGCCTTCTTTTTTCTTCCCCTTTTTATTCCATTCAGGGTACAAGTTTACTGGTTGGTACTGCCCACACCCAGGGCGGGTCTTCCCAGTAAGTTCATCGACCACACCCAGTACTGTGCTAAACCAGTAAACCCAACATCACACATCCATGATCCAGGATCAGGCACCAACAGTCCAGTCATTCCCCAATGCCCTACCTATGAATGCATGAGGCTTCGGCAAGACCTCTAGATATAAACCGTGACACCCCCGCTTTGTTCCTAGTCAACAGATCGCTTCATCTCTCTTAATCTTAGTTCTCGCAATTGTTAAAGATTGGCCGTATAATTCCAGCACTCTCAGAGGTTATACCAAACATACAAGTAACTGTACAGACTGATCGGGAAGATGGTAGAGGAAAGGGGCGCCATTTGTGCACCGAAGGTAACTGTTTGCATCTACGCCTGTTGGGAGAACTGTGATTTTAGACAACGGAGGGGAAATCCTGTACACGAAAGCTTCTTAATAACAATAACCCCCCAGAAATCCTTGAAGCACCACACCACTCAAAACTCATTCCAATCACTATACCAGCTATGGTACACCTAATTGAACAGTTACACAAATAGATACTGTAATACAGTTGTGGTTCCCATTAAGGTGCCAGCCTCAGGATCTATAAACACTTGTCTACTTCTTGTTCCCCTTTTCAAAAGCTGTTCTGGGCAAGCTTTGGAAAGGGAACCTGTCCTGTTATGACTCCGCTGAAAAAGCATGAAAACGTATGCAAGATCTCCTTCTCGTTTCTGCCCCAAACATACCTCCCACTCTCCACACATTTCCTTGAGCTTCTGACCTTGTGATCCTTGGGGCAGGAGGGAATGCAGTTTGCCAGTTCCACTGTATCTGCTGTACTGCTTCAGGCACTTCTCTGCAATGACATTCACCAGGGTCCAGACCCCACAGACCACAGTGGCCTGATGTTCTGGTCCAGTGCTGTCATGCTAAGCTCTCTTCCCATGGTGCAACGGATTTCCTTGTCAACTAACTGAACTGAATATTAGTTTCACTTTCCTTTGCTCACTTCTGTGTGTGTGTGTGTGTGTGTGTGTGTGTGTGTGTGTGTGTGTGTATTAGCTCTCCAAGCTAAGAATTTTAACAGATAAACAGTTCTGAGTTTCTCTGAGCGCCTTCCTTTCGTCTTGACCTTCTCAGAGAAGAGGGATGCCATTCCCCACGGGAGGTAACCTTGGGATGAGGATTGAAACTCAAGGGCTGCCTTTGAATCATGGCAAGTCTGCTGGGTTAGAAAAACTCTAAAGAGGGGGCTAAAGGCAGTTAAAGATTTGTACAGAAGAGATATCCACAAAGTACCCATTTCCTGTCGCTCCAAGCTGGTCACCTTAGATGTTAATGAAAGTTGTGGTGGTCACGGACAGTGACAGAGGTAACATCTCAAGTGAATATCATTTGAACTCTAGGAATTATTTTCCCTCTGTCCTAAAACTAAGGGCCTATTTTGAGGGCAGGGTGGTTGCACATATTGAGAAGAGGCCAGTGACCTGGAATTCCTTCAGATCCTCGGTCCCCTTAAATCTGAGTGGCGTAGCCTTCTGCAGGGGACTTAAACGGAAGAAAATCTAACACACCAGGACTCTGAGAGTCACATTACATAAAGAAGAAGTCAGCTTAGCGAGAGGCCTCCTCTCTTGGAATTTCAAAAATTATTTTTAACGCTTTGAAAGTAGCGAACGGCTGTCTTTTGTTTGATAGAGAGCATGGCACAGAACAGTCCTCATCTGAGCCCTGTGCGTCCAAGTCCTGTGGCGTTGTGGCAGGCCACCAAGGAAACTGAAAGGTACCAGTGATGTCAGTCAGTCAGTCCATGAGCATATCCGCTCCTCTGGTGGGATTTGCATTACCAAAGGCACATTTGGTTTTAAGAGCTATGGGATGGATGTTAAGCACCACCACTAACCTACTTAATGAGAAGGTGCATTTTGCCCACTGTGACCTGCAGCAGATTCCTCTGTACATTGTCTAATCCAATAAGCATTACCAAGGTTAGCTTTAGGATCTAGTTTTATCATTGATATCTTCAGTAATAGCCAGAACCTCTTTTGCAGAGGAAGTTAAAGCAGGATTGGTAAAGATACCTCATAGTAACCATGTATATCACTGTCAAAGGACTCTGCACATCATGTGGTGGGTGGACATAGCTGTCTTTTCCGATAGGACCCAAGAGGCTCAAGGACAGTAATCTCCTGCCTCAGGTTAGCAGTGTTTCTGGAACACAGTACATGGTCACTAAACACTAGAAAAGGGAAAGGCAGCTGTGGGAAACAAAAGAGAGTCCCACAGTGAGGTCTTGGTACCCACTCTACAGTGAGACTCCCCAGAAGTATGCCGTAGACCTCTTGAAAATGGTATAGTTAGGTGATGCTAGGAGGTGATGCTAAATTGTGATGTCACAATTTAGAGAATGTGGCAGGTAGGACTGAGGACTTGGGCTTTGTGTCCTTGCACTGGAACAGCCTCTCCATATCTCTCTGAGCTATGGCTCAGGATGCAGATTTGTGTACCCAGAGCTGAGCTGGAGCAGAGAGTATTACTTTGGTTTTTGTTTTCCTTTATCATCTAGTAAAGAACCCTTGGACTGGTGCAGCATAATGCACATCTGCTTAGGCTGGACACTGGTCAAACCACTCTGTCTTCCTCACAAAGCTTGGCTGAAGCCTTTCTTATTGGAAGCTTGAAGTTGGGCCTGGACTCCAAGACGTTAAATTTCTCATAACTTTTGACCTTATCATATGTACTTAAGATTTTCCATTGATGAGCAAATTCTGCATCTGCTATGAGAGAAATGACTGTACGCCCTTAGACTGGGTCACGAAGCAAGTGAAAACCAGTGATCAACATGTCTGAAATGGGTTGAGAACACAGATTGGGTTTCGGTCCCCGGCGCAGGGTTAGATGGTTATCTGAACTTGACTTATCTGGTCTCAGTGTGGATCACTGCATTTGTAGCACTAAGCTCAACACCTCAAGTGGGGAGGGTTCCTGACATTTCTGATGGTGCCAAGCTCCCCTCAGGCCAGCCGTATTTCGATGAAATGTTCTGGGCTGTTGGGCATGTCCGGTTCTACTCCAGGCCCGGATGTGGTTTCTTGGAGAGAAGTAGGAGTTGGGAGTGAGTCCATGGAAATAGGCTGCTGTGCACTGAAGAATGCTTGTGTCCTGCCTTACTGGGGAGAGGAGGGCATAGGGTTTGTCATTCTTCCATCCCTTAACTGTGACCCCCCCAGGCAGAGTAGTACAGCTAGCAGGAATAACTGGGTTGTTCATGGAAATTCCACAAACACAGATGAACTGTTCTTACTGCACTCTGTTCCAGTGAGGATTAAACTCCACTGTGGCCAGAAGTCCCCCAGGAGTCTGGTCAAGTGGTAAATCCAGACCTTAAAGTTCTGAGGATCTTGCAATGTCCTGGGCTCTGCTAGTCCTGGACACCAGAGAGCATATTCCGTGGACCTCGGCCTTGGCGAGAGTGGAAACCCTCATCAGGGAGACGCAGGCTGAGATCCATCATCACCCAAGTCCTCAGAGAGAGGACAGTAGAAGGTGGAGTCCTGGGGCGTCCCACACTGGGCTCAGGGATGAGGAGGAAGAGGAAAGACATAAGGTCCGAAGGGAGTGCTCCTGGCAGAGGCCGGAGCCTAGGTCAGGGGGGAACCAAACATGACATAAGCTCCCGTCATTCTGAGAGCAGGCGCCTGAGAACCTGGTTGCTCACTTGGGGCCAGAGCCCTCGGAGGGAAAGATGATGGCTTCCCTGAAAGCTCAGCGGGTCTCCAAGGCAGGGGAGCCACAGGGGCATCCCAGGCCTGCAGCGGCTTCCTGTGGCACAGTGCAAAGAGAACCCTGTCCAAGTCAGGGCGCTGGAGCCTGCTGGAAACCACACAGGCCTGCCTCTTCACACGCTGCACTTCCGGCAGCCCCGTCTTTCATTTCTGCTAGGCTGACCAAACTAGGGACTCCACTTTTGTTTTTTCAGTGTATTTTGTGTCCTTACCAAATCTAAAACTCAAAGTGAAAAACCTAGACAGATCTCTCAATTTCCCCAGGTTTTTCCTGTCCTTGCTGTCTTCCCTGCTTAACCCCACCCTGGCTGTCCCCTTCCTCTCTGGAAATGAGACCCTTTGGCCTGGAGGGTGTCACAGAGCTCCACTCACCCTGTCTTTGATGACACACGAGAGCTCTCTTGGTCCCACCCTGACCCATAGGGAGCCACAGAACATGTCTCACAACCACACGAGTAGCCTCAGTTACTTTGGATGTTTGCAAAGCTCTCCCCTCAAGCTTGCTGCCTTCCCTGGTAAGGAACCAGTGACCATCAGTAGACCCAGCAGCCCTCAGATAACCCAGGCCTCAGAGAGGAGACGAGGGCCTGGGAAAGTTAAGCATATTCCTGAGATCAGTGAATTCCAAACTCAAGGCACAAACCGTAGATTGCCCAGACTGTGTCACTCCTGAGGTCATCCCATCACCCTGTCCATCTTCTCTGGGATTTCTTTTCCCCTCTGGGCTGCAGGCAGCTGTCTGGGATCATAAAACCTCCTCCTTCTCCCAGCTTGAATATCCTGTGATATGGTAATTTTGTCTCAGAAACCAGAGTTCATCGTTCCCAGCTTCTCTCCAGTGCTAATCACTGCACTTCATTAACGGTGAGCCCCGTGTGTTGTATGGCAGCTGTCAGCACGCTTCCAAATGCTGGGCCGCTGAGGCTGGTGGCTGGGTGCAGACACCTGTGTGTCATCCTGCAGCGTTGAAGGCTTCTTGCTCCCTGCCTGCTGCCATGTTGGGTCTCAATGTCAGCTCAGACCTTGTGTATGTACTAGAAAGTGGTAGGCCTACTCTCGGCGACAGATTCCTGGAAAGCAACCTCAGCTGCCTTTGGCTGGGTGTAAGCTGCCGGGGGTGTAAAGAGCCTGGGCCTTGTGCTGTGTGGATGAGAGTTCAAGGTGATTCATATCCAGTGATGCCTTCGGTGTCGCCGGATCTTGGGTCCAGACCCGTGCACTCAACAGCTTAGTACTTGTGTAGCTCTGTACGCATCCTGTCTAGCACTTTAAACCATCTCTGGATTATTTCTAATGCCCAATACAATATAAATGCTGTGCGAATAGTCGTTAGACTATGTTTCCTAACCCTAATGACTAGGAAAAAGTCCAAACGTACTCAGTGGATGCACAATATTATTTGATGTTCTTCTTATCTAGTAGGCTGATTCCTTGTATGCTACACCTGTAGATACAGAGGGCAGACGCTGCTTCCCTTCTGGATGTGTAAGCAAGAATGATTTCCTTCTCCACTGTAATGTTCCCTCCTGAATAGCACCCCCTATGGGTTAGCTTGGCGCCCACAGGCACAGATTTCTTTGGAAGTAGAGGTCAGGAATCTCTCCAACATTCAGGGGAAATGAGGGGTACCTGTCTCCTCAGCAAGCACCTTATAGCCTCAGAGAAGAGCAGGACCTGGATGGGGAGTCACAGCTTACTGTCAAAGGCCATTGCAAGCTTAAGCCGCCCTGTGAAACTGAGTCGGTCTCTGTCTCTCTGTCTCTGTCTGTCTGTCTCTCTGTCTCCCTCTCTCTCTTGCTGATTCACAGCATAAAAGGCCAGGGAACATCTCATTCCTTTGATACCCAACTCCCCAGAAAACTTTAAAGTACGAATTTCTCCCACATCTTAGGAAATACCAGTGTCTACCAGCAGGTTCCTTGCAGACTGGTAAAGCCAGCTATGCCAAGAGCTGTGGTCAGCCAGCTGTGATCTCCAGCTCAGCCCCAGCCTGTGAGCCTGAGTCAGCACCTCCAAATCACCAAGGTCATGACGCCCACAACTGCAGCCCCCTCTCCAGACCCATTTTCCAGGGGCAGGATACAGAACTTTAGAAGGAAAACTCTTTTTTTGTAGGTTGAATAATTCTGAGTTTTGGGATATTGTTGATGTTAT